GGTATTGCAAAAAGCGGGGCCAGGGAGGCAGGTGCTGTTATAGCCAATGCCACTGAAGCTGGTGCAGAGCGGCTGGTCAATTGCGGCACTGGCGTCAATTTCACATAGCACACAGCTGAGGCCGGTGCAGACTTGCCGGCTAGCTGCGGCACCGCTCCCAATGCCGACGCCGAAGCCACTCTCGCTCTCAGCAGTGGGGGCTCTCTGATGGCCGCCCCAGCAGATTGTCCAGACCCCTTAGGGGTCATTTTGGACGCCCCTGAAGCCGTTGCAGCTGCTGAAGGGAGGGATCGCACTGGGGACGGCTTCAATCGCTTCGAGCCGGCTGGTCCCGGGGAAGCCGCCCTGCGTTTTTGTTCAGGGTCTTTTGTGGCTGCGGGAGGGATCAGATCAGGCTGCAATGCCTTCCCGAACATCTGCATTCTTATCTTCATCTCCCGCTCCCTCCGGGCTCTCGATTCTAATTTTCTACAGTGAGAGCACTTCTCGGGGACATGAGCTTTCCCCAGGCACCTATGGCAGGGGTCATGGCCGTCAGCCGTTGTCATGGGCTCACGGCATGTCAAACACTTTTTAAAACCAGTCGATCCTGGTACTTTCAAAATGAGTAAAGAATAAATGCCTGTATAAGCCCCGTGTGAAGCCTTGTCAATTTCACTTTTAGCGCTTTGCGCAGCGCTTTAAGAGAATCGGCTTGAGGAAAAAAAACTGTTTTCTTTTTTAACTTTATTATGAACAGGAGAACCAATTAGCAGGAACATGACTAATACTAACAAATTTAACTATTTACAGATGCAAAAACTGACTGAAAACATTCTGAAGAGAAATATTCAGGGAGCTCCGACCACGACCTGAAGCGGTTGAGAGGAACTGACGGTTGCTGGCTCACGTGCGGCTGATCAAAGGCGCAAATGCCTCGCTAGGGAAGCACGCATGCGCGAGCCAGCAGAGCACGGCTATGAGAAATCTCCGAGCCGCAGCACCGGGACAGGACCCGACACCTAGAGTGGAGCACCCACGGGGCCACTCGAAGAAGAACTGTTTTAATATTAGGAGAGATTACAAGGACTGATATTACACTGCTTATAAAATAAATAACAATGGAAGGATATAATTCAGGGGTGGGCAAAAGCTTCTCAGTGGGATGGCTTTGTTCTGCCTAGGGCTTTGATCTGGCCCGCGAGGCAGTTTCAGGCCCCACCCCCAGCTTGTTGCCTCAGAGCAGGAGAGAGGCATGAGCCCTTCTAACTGCTTCTATTTAAAAGGCTCGTATCTTCCCCACACCTTGGGTAGCAGCTGTGGAAAAGGCACAAGGCCCTTTAAATAGAAACAGTAGAAAAAGCTCTGATTCCCTAGAAATGTGCTAGAGGGGAGCTGCAAGTCCTTTGAGCTGCTTCTATTTAAAGGGCTCTCCTGTTCCCTGAAGCTGCTAGACAATGCATTGCCTGACAGGCAGGAGGAAAGGGCCAGCCCTTTAAATAGAAACAGCTGAAAGGACTTGCAGCTCATGCCTTCACACAGCTGCTAGGCAATGCATTTCTGTTTAAAGGAGAGGCCTTTAAACAGAAACAGCTGAAAGGGATCACAGTCCCAGGCAATGCACTAGAGGCACCAGGAGCTGCAAGCCCTCACAGCTGTTTCTATTTAAAGTGTTCTCCGTGCCCTGGGGCTGCTAGGAGCTATGGGGAAGGTGCAAGCCCTTTCAGCTATTTATATTTAAAAGTTATTTATATTTAAAGGCACCTTCCCTGTGCCTGTCAGGCCACGTATTGCCTAGCAGCTGCAGGGAACAGGAGAGCCCTTTAAAACAAGAACTCAAAGAGCTTGCAGCTCCCCTCTAGCACATTGCCAGAGACATGGGATCCCTTTCAGCTGTTTCTACTGAAAGGGCTCTTCAAGTCCCCACAGCTGCTAAGCAATACATAGCCTGACAGATGCAGAGAAAGCACCAGCCCTTTTAATAGAAGCACTTTAAAGGGCTTGCAGCTCCTCCAGCCTCTAATGTGTTGCTACAGAGCCGGTGACGTGAGCCCTTTCAACTGCTTCTATTTAAAGGGATTGCCTGGCAGCCATCCGTCAGGTCCAAGCCCTTTAAATTGAAGCAGTTGAAAAGACCTCATAGCTCTATCCTACTGGCTTGTTGCCTGGAAGTTGCCCAGAATTCAGGGAGGATATGTGTATCAATGACTTTTAGTCAAGATGATCAGGGATACAACAACATGTCTGGGTGTCCCTAAATCTAGTGCTGCCAAAAGCTAGAGTTGGTCAACAGTGGATGGCTCACTCAAGCATACAGTCCCCGGGTTACGTACAAGATAGGGACTGTAGGTTTGTTCTTAAGTTGAATCAGACCAGGGAGACGAGGAGCAAAGTCGCGGAGCACGCCCGCAGCAGGACAGCCCAGGCGCGCCGCGGCTGTCCCACTGCGGGCGTGCTTGCAGGGAGACGGGGAGCAAAGCCTTGGAGCACGCCCGCAGCGGGACAGCCCAGGCGCGCTTGAGCTGTCCCCCTGCAGGCGTGCTCCGCGGCTTTGCTCCCCATCTCTCTGCAGACCAGAGAGACGGGAAGCAAAGCCACGGAGCACGCCCGCAGGGGGACAGCTCAAGCGCGCCGGGCTGTCCCGCTGCGGGCGTGCTCCAAGGCTTTGCTCCCCGTCTCCCTGAAGACCAGGGAGACGGGAAGCAGCTTTTCTCACCCCGGAGGATGGGGGCGGCGGACCGCGGCACATCTGGGCATCCCGCCGCTCCCGTCCTCCAGGGCGAGAAAAGCCCCATTCGTAACTGCGGATCCGACATAAGTCGGATCCGCGTAACTCGGGGACTGCCTGTACTGTTCTGTTCATTTTTTTGAAACACCTGGCACTAGCCACCAAAGGAAGAAAGGATAACGGGCTAGATGTACCACTGGTCTGACAAATTATGGCCATTTTTATGTTCTTAAATGGAACAAGGGAATTCATTTAATGGCAGTCCACCAGATCAGACTTCAGGCAAAACAATCAAGTGTTCATAAACATGTCAATTCACTGACCTTAGCTTTCTTCAGGGAAGTCCACCATAATAAAGGAGGTTTGAGCAAGTTTGCCAAATGCATATTTGTAAGAAAGATTTAAAGGCAAGAGGACTTGCCTTTTCAATATCAAAAATAGTCCCTCAAATTTGTTAGGTGCCAAATGTAAGAGTACTTTCAATGCAGTTTTTTTCAAAATCTAAACTCATTCCACCATCACCACACAAGTTGTTGTGGTGTATGGAAATAGTGTTCACCCTCACCACTCAAACCAATGATCTAATTTAACACTTAAATCCTCATTGGAGCATGCCTTTCTTTCAATATACAGTAGAGTTTCTTGGGACCTTCAACAAATCCCACAAAATCTCAATTCAAAAGTACTCAACTTCTTTCAAAGAACTCTTATCCTTGGCAACTGGAACCCATTTTGACAGTTCCTTATAGGGCACTTTTTTTTTTTTTTTTTTGCAGAAGAGTTACTCTACTCACATTGGCAGTTACTGAGGTTCTTCAAGACTATTGTTTCTATGGGTTCTCCACTTTAGGTGTCTGTGTACCCTGCACCTGTAATCGGAGATCTGTAACAGCAGTACCCAGTTGGGTTGCACACGCACCATCTCACACTGTCTTATATGACTACAGAGCACTGCATGACCAACCATCCTTTGGTTCCTTCTCTAGTGCAGAGAATCTAGCATGAAACTCTGAAATAGAGGAGGAGGGATGGTGGCAGCCCACTCACAGATACATCAATACATACTGCGTAAGTGTCTGGGTCTTTGTCAGGAACTTGACCCTCCATTATTCAAACTATATATTATCTTAATTAGCTTGGTAAAGGTTAGTTCTATGACCTCTAGTCATAATGACTGCACTAGTATGTTAAAAAAAGCAAAAAAGTGAGGGACAGTTAGTTGGCCAGAGTATTTATACATTTGATCTAGGAAATGAAGATTTTAAGAGAATTGGACATCATGTTCTTTAAATGACAAATACTTTTCAAACAGGTTCTGTGTTCATGTGACCTTGCGTATAGGAGGACTCTATAGAGGCAAACTTCTTATGTTTCTTTACAAAAGGGCTAGCTTACCTAGAGGTCCAATAGGTTTGTGTATAAAATGTCCTTTTCTATGGGCATCTTCAATTGCTTCAATAAGGACTGGCACATGTTGTCCAAATCTTTTCAATCTATTTGTTTTACTGTCTGTCAGTTCTTTTAGCAGTCTTTGATTGGAATCCAAAGCTTGTTTCACATCAATTTCTTCTCTCCTGAGGAAATGAAAAGTTACATTTCATTTTGTAACAAAGCTACACTGACTTTAATTAATATAACAACTTAATTTAGCAAGGTCAAACTTTGTTGTTACTATAACAAAACTTGTTACAAATGGAAAAAGGAATTCATCTTCAAAAAATTTGAAATGAGAAATGAAGAGTATTGCTGATCTATCCTCATTGCTGATATATAGATTTGAAAAAGAACATTTATGTTTGTATGAAGATGATATGCAAAGAGCAGCAACACAACACAAACAAGAGAATCAATAATAAAAACAGAAGGATTTCCAAGCTAACTTCAAACAATACAAAGTAGTAATATCAGAAGTGTGACTATGGAAAGAAATTTCACTAACTCAATATTAATTACCGAAATGTGAATGTAAGATATTGTGTGAACTCAAGAAAGTGTAAGCTAAAATATGAACATGACTACAGGTGAGTTTATCAGAAGAAGTTTGATCAAGACAATTTATAAATATGGTTCTACCCTTTATTTTATGATCATCACCATTTCATAAATGGTAGACATATACAAATGATGTACAATTGTATAGGAAATATCAGTAGGATTCAAGTGTGAATCATGTTGTGAACGTAATTAGGAATTCAGTGTACTCCAGAAATGACATTCTAGATAACACAACAACAAAAAAACAAATTTTAATGTAATGTAGAGGTAAGCTAGTGGGAATTAAGGAATATTAATTAGGGATGTTAAATAACATGTAATTAAATAGTCCTGTAACCTCATCAAATTTTAACGGTTACATGACTATTGGATAGTCTCTGGGAGTGGGGCCAGCAGTCAGTGTGCTCTGGTCCCACTTCTAGGGAGGCCCCTGCCACCCTGGGCTGCTCTCTATTGATACAGAGGCAGCAGAGGGGGCAGCAGCAGCCCCTGTCCATGAGGGCCCAGTACAGTCTCCCCTTCCTCCTCCCGCTTTTAAGCTGGCTCCCCTCAAGCATTGGCCCCTACCTGCCACCCTCTCCCCACCTCTGTGGGAAGCGGCAAGGGGTTGAGGGCAAGGCAACTCTGCAGGTTCCTCAATGGCACTGGCTCCCACCTCACGCCACTTGCTGCCTCTGTATCAGAGGCAGCAAGGAGGATTTGTACATGTAGTCAACAAGATTAACCAATAAGCCTAGGCTTATTGGTTAATTGTGTAGCAGTCTACACACTTACATGCCTACTCGGTATCAGAGGCAGCAAAATGGGGGATGAAAAGAGGTGAAGCCAGTGCTCACAGAGCGTCAGCTCCCCGCACATGCCAGCTCTTGCAGAGCCTCATACCCGTCCCTGGGGTGCTGCCTCCCATAGAGGGAGCAGCAGGAGAAGGCAGGGGACAGGATGGAGCCAGTGCCTGTGGATGCCGGTACCTTCCCCCGCACTGCTACATCCGATACAGAGGCAGCAGCAGGGATGGGAGAACAGGGAAGCAGGAGCTAGTGCTCATGGACAACCAGATCCCAACTGCTCCCTCAACCTGAATGAAAATGTAAAATTTCAGCGGTTACATATTTACAAAAATAAAAACACATTTTAACATCCCTACTAGAGTTGCCCAGTAGGCCAGCAAGAGCCAGACACACAGCAGAAGCAGGGCTGCATGGTGCAGCAGTGGAAACCCAGCCTGTGGAGGTGGTGGGACTGCCTGGTAGGAAGCAAGGGGTAGTAGTACGGAGTTGAAAGGGGGGCTGGAGGGTCGGGGGAGCCAGTTGAGAGGCCAGGGACTTCATCAGAGCTGGCGGGGTGGGGGTGGGAGGTGAGATGAGCTGGTAGCCGGCGGGGGGAGGGCGGGGCGCAGCGGCACAGAAAGGGCCTTCTCTTGTATGGGAAAAATCCCTCATCCAGACCTAGTCATGTCCCGAAGGTGCTGGACCAGAGAGTTCCAACCTGTAGTTTCATTTTTTTAAACGAATAAAACTACATGATTTTAGTAAATTATAGATCGTTTGGGCCTTAAACTTCATTGTAATTTAAAATTTAGTTTTAATATAATTTATTGTCTTGTGAAAACAATGGTTTTAATCTTCACTGTTTTGGAGTAAATCGGATTTTAATTGTAGAACTGCATTTCACCTTTAATACCATCACATTTTGTACTTTGTGCTGAGAATTTTCTAATTTAGTCTCACTGTGGATAATAGACACAAATACCACATCACAAGATGCTTTTTGAGAATTAGGACCACAAAACAAATTAAGATTAATGCTGCATGGAGTACTATGAAATATAAATAATGAAGCACAATCTATTGTCACCAGTAGGAAAGAAATTTGGACAATGTTAAATACAAAGTTAAACTTACTTAAGTCTACCATGATCTTCCTTGCATTTGTAGATAGCCTGCTGAAACTGATCCATCTCTTGAACCAGCATGATCTCTTGATCATGGACCATCCTTAATTGCTCTTTCAACTGGGCTATTTTTTTCTGTCTTTCCAACTTTTCATACTCTGAAACTTGATCAGCGCTACAACAATAGAGACACAACAATTCAGCATTTTAAAATCACAAAGAATGTACAACCATAAAAAGAACAAAAATACTGTACAATGGTTTAAAACATACATTTTAGCATTTAACAAGTTTTATTAAGCAAGCACATCCAACAATATTCAACAGCTGAAAAGCCTGTCTATTGTCTGGCCTGCATGTGGCACTTTCTAACTAAATGCAAGATCCATTTGGTATCATGACCACAAAATCTGGCTGATATCAGCTGCCTTACCTAAAACAAAACTAAACAGTTCCACAATAAACTAAGAAAAGCAGGCAATTAGACACAGAGGAGTGGTAACTTAAGCTGAATGTGACATTACATTTCATATACTTAATGAAAATAAGATACTATTTATATGACTACTGAGATGTACTTTAGACCAAATAAATATCAGAAAGGTATTGATTTACTGAATATGATAAACCTGTTTGCATGCATAATTTTTGTATCTGAAGTTAGAAATATTAATTACTGTATTTGTATTTCATATGTGTTAATTTGGGAGACCACCCACTGCTAACACTTCTGATACAACAACTGGAAAGCCAGACAGGATTGAAAATCCATAAGTGAGGACAATGAACTGTGAAAAGTCTTGACCTTCCTCTGGAGGTTCCAAATTGACTAACGTATGGACATGGTGAAACTACAGAGTCAGGTGACCAGGTCATCTGATACTAACCTCTATCTTGAACTGCTGAATTGTTCCAGGAGGAGGTGGGGAAATGAAACAAAAGATTCCCACCTTATGGAAATCTTATATAAGGCAGGAGGAGAACAAAGTTCTTCACTTTGCTTCTTCTCCAGATACTTGAAAACACATGAAAACAAAAAAGTCTCAAATAGAAAAGGAAGAACTCTGGACCCAGGCTAGCAAGATAACTCTGGCCTGAGAAGAAGTTTGAAACCCTGAAACAACATGTAGGGTTAGGAATTATTATTTGTAACTGATGTATTGAGTGACTCAAGCTTAGTTTGAATGCTTTGAATTATTTTCTTAGGAATTTGCTTTGTTCTGTTTGCTACCTCTAACTACTTAAAATACACCTTTTGTACTGAATAAAATTATTTCTTGTTTTTAATATAACCCAGTTTATGTCATTTCTATCTGGGAGGGGGCTAGAAGTTGTGCATACTTACCTCCATATTTAGGGAGAGGGCAAATTTCTTATTTTGAGTTTGTACTCCAAGCAAGGTGGACATCTGGTGCTGTGACAAGTCCCTTAAGATGAGCCTTCCCAGAGCTGATCTGTGTCCATATCATTTTGAAGCTGGGTGTAGCTCTGCCTGTGTACATGGCTGGGGGAGGCTCGTGAGTCGGGCCCAACATAACTAAGTTAAGTGGACCCAGCTGGCAGAACAGGATGACTCAGTGGTATCTCAAAGCATCAAATGACATCCCAAAGGAGTCCAACCTGTCACAGGAGGGTCTAAGAAACTCAGAATGCCAATTATGGCTATCTACTGAGCTGTGCAATATAGAACAAAGCATTTATCTATTTTTATTTCTGTAGAAACTGATCACGTTTTTTCAAGTGTTTTACCACACACACACACATACACCACAACAAAATTTTCAATATTTTTCTATTTTGCATTTTAAGCAAGATTATGCAGTAATAAAAAACAAATTATGTTTGAGCCTGGGCTCATCAGTTAACTTTCATAGTTAGATGCAGGCTCCCAGTAAAACATGGAAAGCCAGCTCTCAGGGAACAGTCTCCCCGACCCTCGTTACTGCCTCTGAAGCCTCAAAAAGCTGGTTTCCCAGATGCATCTGCTGTCCCGCATGTAACCACTGAAATTTTTCAGCAGTTATATAGTTACTTAATTACTCGCATTTTAACATTACTAGTTGGAAACTAGATTTTTTGTAAATGGAGATACTGGATCATCCAAGTCTAAAGAGCTCATTCTTTCAATAACTCAGATTTGTACTACAAACACTCTGGTCACACTCACCTAGTCTTCAGTTCTTCAATTCGTTTCCATAACTGTTCATCGTCTTTTTCTAGTTGCTTTAATTCTGTTCTAGAACGATTATAACGTGCCTATCAAGAAAATTAGTAATATATAATATATTCATTCTTATTTATTTTTGGCTTACTTGGTCTTTACGAAAGAATAAATTACACAGCTACTATTTATCTGAAGACAAACACTAATATCTGATTTACCATTTTGCAACATTGCAGCAGAAGAGTAATGCTTGAATTTCACACTAATAATTTTATCGTTCCTTTTTAAATTATGTTAATGAGGCCCCAATAGCCATTCAGTCTTTAGTTCTGTTATGAAAGATGTTCACACTACAGCCCTGATCCCACAACTGGCTCAATTCAGGTGGAAGCTTCCATGTGAATGAGTGTTTTGCCCCTATGCAACTTCTTTTGACTGGAAAACCCCTTTTAAAGATACTTCATATATTTCCTTAGCCATTTGCCACCACTATAGGAGTGTGGATTTATTCAGAAAATAAGGCACAGCTCTTACCTCAGAGGCTTGGTGACACAAAGGGTTCTTTCCTTTAGTCTTATTTTATTTTAATTTTGTTTTATAAATGACTTCCTACGTGTCACCAAGCTGCGGCTTGGCTTGCAGCTGTCCTACTCAGAGCTGACATCCTATAGTTAAGCTCCCTCAAACAACTGATTCGGTTCTCTCATGAGAAACCATTTGCTTCCAATTCCCACCCCATACCAGATCAGGTAGCCCAGTTTCACAGGTGTTTAAATCAGCCCTACCCAATCAGTCAGCTCCATGCAAAGAGCTCTGAGCCTCTGACTGAGCAGGGCTGATTAATCATCTGTGAAGCTGTGCTGCCATGCAGCTTAGAGAGAACACTGTGCCAGATGCATCTGGTTAGCTCATTAAGCAAGCCTACTTCAGGCTTCAAGTCTCCGGCAGAAAGCCCTCTCACTCCTTCTGCTCTCTCATAGTGCACTTGCATTGAAGTCTCTATGATTTCAGTGGGCCTCTGCATAGATGAAGAACACCTGGCCAGAGCTCAATGCACAACTAGGGACTTTTTCATAAATTCTAAGAACAGAAGGGATCAGTGTGATCATCAAATCTGATGACCTACATACATAGGCTATAGAACTTCCACAAAGTAAGCTGAACTACAACATATCTTCCAAAACAACACTGTTAGCACTACAAGCTTAGAAAATGTGCTTTTCCACCAACCTCAGCCTCGTTGTATGCTTTTCTTTTTGCTTGTACATCAGCTTTCAAACAAACACACTGGGGCTGCAATGCTTGTGCTTCTTCACTTATCTTCTCTAACTTATCTTGGATTGCCTTGTACTTTTCTTCTGCTTCATTTAATTTGACCTTATAGCAAAACAGAGAGAATGTATGGATTTACATAATTAAACAAAATATTTTATTTCCACAACCTTTTAACCAGGAGAATCTGACACAAACTTGAAGCTAGCTATTTGAGGTGATTTCCCCACCACCACAAACAAATTTCAGTGAAATCAGAAGCAGTGTGCCAGCTAAGCTTCATGGCAGCACAGCTTCACAGGTGACTGATTAACCAGCTCCGCCCAGTCTGAGGCTCAGGGCTCCCTGCAGGAAGCTGACTGACTGGACAGGGCTGATTAATCACCTATGAAGCTGTGCTGCATTGCATCTTAGAGGGAACACTGATCAGAAGATATAAATAAGTTAACCCATGGAGCATATAAAAAGTAGTTATCCTTTGAGTTGAAAAAAAATGCTTTGTTGTTTTTAATGAAGGCTGACAAAATTTACTTCATTTGAGTTACCAAATATGGGGTTTGTGAGAAAATTGAAAGTATATTGGGCTCTGCATATTCTTAACACTAGAAACCAGAAACTCCGAGAAAAAGAAGTGTCTCAAGTAGATTCACAAGGTAACTAATTCCTTTAATAAAGAACTGGGTCTAGAGCACTTGTGACTGATTAGCTGCCTCCCAGCTGAAGTTAAAGGAAGGCACCTGGGACATATAAAATAAATATAGGGAGGAGGAAATGATAATTTCCTCAAAAAAGCAAGGAAACACGCAGAGAAGAACTGCCTGAGAATACAGGCAGTCCCTGGGTTACGTACAAGACAGGGACTGTAGGTTTGTTCTTAAGTTGAATTTGTATGTAAGTCAGAACTGGCGTCAGCCGCTGCTGAAACTGATCAGTTTCAACCGCGGCTGAATCTGGATGCCAGTTCTGACTTACATACAGATTCAACTTAAGTAACCCAGGCGCCCCCAAGTCAGCTGCTGCTGAAACTGATCAGCAGCTGATTCCAGGAAGCCTGGGGCAGAGCAACTCTGCCTTGGGCTTCCTGTAGTCAGCC